TTGCATATGCCAAACTTGCGACACAGTACGCCTACGGACTAAACCTTAACCCCTATAAATAACACTGCCCTTTAGAAAACGTCCCGCGGGACCACCAGCTAGGTATTACTTCGCTAGGACAGGGCGAGCACTAACGCTCTATTTCTCAATTATCATTTACTCTCATTTGGTGTTGTCGTTCATCTCGTCGCAGTTGTTGCATGATTGCTGTAATTATATGATTAACTTGTTCCCAGGCATCTTTAGAGGACAACATGTATTGTACGACTCTATGACATGTAACATGGTTACCCATTAATCTTTCTAATGCTTCTCTAGCACGTGTAAAACGTATACAAGTTGTCAGTATGTGCTCAACGCTTTCTACCACTTTACCACAATGCAAACAAAAGGGGTCATCAGCATGTTTATATTTGAAGAAATATTCTCGGAAACAACCATGCCCTGTGAGAAACTGTGTAACATAGTAATTAGGTTCACCATATTTCCTTGAGGTCCAGGCAGCAATTGATGGAATAAGATTGTATGTCCATCTTCCTTTTGTTGATGTAATCCACCGTTGTTGCCACTGTACGTATATTTGACTTCGTACCTCATCTTTGTAATTTCGGCTAAGACACTCTTGTGATTTGAGATCTCTCAGAGCTGCAGCTTCTTTAGCCTGTAGGTCTATTGGTATTCGTCCAGCAAGGACGTTTATAGCTACTTCGGAGATTGTACGAAACGCGCAGCATACCCTTAATGATGCTAATCTATGAGCTGACACCAAAGATCTTGTATATGATAAACGGAAGGCTGCGGGATACCATATTGGTGCGCCATACATCATTACTGAAGTCGACACTGATGCCAGTAGTCTTCGACCTGCATATCTTGGACCACCAATGTTTGGCATTAATCTTGCAACTGCTGCACCGATTCTAATTGCTTTGTCACCAGCAGACTTCAGATGTTCCTTGAAGTTAAGCCTTTGATCTATTTTGACACCCAGATAATTAATTACCGAGCTTGATTTGATAGAAAGCTCGCCAACATGTATATCAATAAATTCTATTCTTTTTCTACTACTTAGAAGAACTGCTTCGGTTTTGTGCTCTGATAATTCCAGGCCCATTGACTCAAGCCAGAGTTTGACCACTACGATGGTGCTATCACATTTCATTACAAGCTCGTTGATGGTTTTTGCAACCGCTACAATTGCAATATCATCAGCGTAACCAATTAACTGCACTCCAGCTGGTTTTTCTACATTAAATACGCCATCATACATTACGTTCCAGAGAATGGGGCCTAAAACTGAGCCTTGTGGAACTCCTGCTGACACTAAATATGTCTTCACACCGTCGTTTGTGTCATACATTAGAATGCGGTCGTTGAAATAGCTTATGATCATTCTAAGTAGATATGCCGGTATTTCCAGTTTTGCTAGTGCTTCTATTGTTGCGTTCCAGTCCGCTGAATTAAAAGCATTTTTGATATCCAGCGTGATTATAGCACAGTATTCTTTGCTGCCGCCTCTCCATCTTTTTCCATCCAGCGCATTTTGGGCTATATTATGCACTTTTGCTATAGCATTTATTGTACTCTGGCCTTTCCTGAAACCATGTTGCCATATTGACAGGCCATTTGGTCCTTCTGTGTACTGTTCCAATCTGGTAGCAATAAGTTTTTCAAAAAGCTTTTCAGTAGTATCCAGCATGCACAACGGTCGGTAAGATGACGGCTCATGTAAGTGCTTCCCTTTTTTAGGGATAAGGACTAGTCGTTGTACTTTCCACGGTTTTGGAAACACGCCTTCTACTAGACACAATGAGAATACTTCCGCAAACAGTTCTGGCCTTCTATATACGATTTGTTTAAGCGCGCCATTTGGGATACCATCAACGCCAGGTGCTTTCGTATCCTTAATGATTTTTGCGGCTTCAAGAACTTCGCTTGGAGTAATTAAATTAACTTGGACGTCGTCATCGGTCAGTATGTGTGTTATCCCAGAGCCTTGTGGGAATAAGTTGCGTACGATCTCTTCTAAGAAACGAAAATTAGTAGGAGCTGATGGTGAAGTTCCCTTCATTATCTTTTTGACAGTTTGGTATGCTTTTCCCCAAGGATTAGTTGACAGTTCATCTAGCAAGGTGTTGTACAGCCGCTTTTTGCTTTGTAAAATAGAATTACGGAGCTCTTTCCGCTTTTCCTTATAATGCCAGTTAAGTTGCTCAAAATTGTTATGCCCTTTTGCTCGTTGTTGAACTCTGCGTAATTTGTGACATTCTGTCCGCAGGTTTCCAATTTCTTCATTCCACCAAGGTGCAGGTCTATGATGCTTTCTTTCATTTCTTCGAGGCATTGATGCATCACAGATGTTTTTAAGTGATTGCATTAGGCTTGCAGCCTTACTATTCGCGGAACTGCCAGTTAGAATTATTTCATCAGCAAGAAGGTCAACCATTGCTTTATCTAATTTACTAGTATTCCATTTAATTGCTTGTGCTTTCCTTGTAAGTTCATGTTTTCGACTTATACGGTCTTGTGTTATTTCAAATATAATCAATTTATGATCACTAGCTGTGTACACATCTGCCACTTTCCATAGACTGTTTTTACAAATACTTCTACTTCCAAATGTAAGATCAATGGTTGATGTGAAACGGCCATTATCAAAAGTATAGCTAATGCCATCGTTAAGCAGGAAAATATCTAGTGAAGCAAAAGCCTCCAAGAGAGCAAAACCTCTTCTGTTTGTACATCTGCTGCCCCAGGAAGTTGACCATGCATTAAAGTCCCCTGCTATCACTAATGGCGTTTTGTGTTTTGCATTCTCTACGAGGTGATCAAGCATAGTATTGAAGTCCTCTATGGTGTCGTTAGGTGAAACGTAGCAGCTGTAAAAATGTATACCATCTATTTTGCGTATACGAAGCCATTATGCTGGTTGTTTTCAATAATTTCATAGCTTTTTTGGCCATAGATGTGTATTGCCGCTTTACCGCTCAGATCTCTGCACCACCTACCATCCCAGTCTGGGACGTTAAACGGTTCTGAAATTAAGAGAACTTCAGCTGTTAGATCATTTGCTGTTAACATCAGTAGGTCTTGCGCAACTTCACAGTGGTTTAAGTTGATTTGAAGACACTTAACCATGTATATGTAATTTCCTACAAGCGGCTTGATAGACTGGACAGATTTTATTTAACATGTCATGATTGTTATTATCGGCAGGACATAGCAGACACCTGGGTGTCTTGTCGCAAGATTTGGCTTTATGACCTATATTACCACACCTAAAGCACGCTCCTGCGTGTGTATAGGTGTGTATTGGTATCATTTTTGCAGTATTTTGAAACGTGTCCAAATTCTAGACATTTATAGCATCGAGTTGGTTGTAGGAACTCTCTAATTCTACATACT